ACATTCTCCACTTGTCATTTAACTTTTTCACTAAAATAGGATTGGCTTCCCATTCGAAGTAGTCCACCGTCCTTACAAATCCATCTTATAAGAGCTTATGAATCGTTTCCTTGATGGCTTGGAGCTTCTCCCCCCCCCCCCCAAACAAATGCCTTTTCTAAGTTACTGGCTTTTTCAAGGGATTGGTACTTAGCTTGTACACAGTAACTGAGGTTGGAATTTTAGGCATGTCAATTGAGGTCCATGTAAACACATCCTTGTTTGCCTTCACAAAATTTATGAGCTCATCTTTGTCTTTCGAGCTTAGCTTTGTTCCGATTTGTGTTTTCTCGGTGGGTTTTTATCATCGATCTGGACCTTTTCCACCTCTTCAACTAGGGTAGCCCTAGCTTCATCATCAGGTCAGTTATCTGGTAATTCCACCCCTATCACTTGCTGGTTACTTGGGGCCTCTAGCTGAACTAGTTTTGGTAGCTTAGTTACCTCCATGTCCTTTTGAGGTTGAGTGACGGAGGTCATGTAACAGTGCCTAACTATCTCCTAGTTGCCTCTTACAGTCACCATCCCCATCGATGTAGGAAATTTTATGCATAGATGGGATTGCAAGACGACAACTCGGATTTCAATCAAAGTAGGTCTTCCGATGACAATGTTGAAAAATGACACCATTGTCACAACCAAGAACCAAACTAAGGAGTTACATACTTCTACCTTGAATCAAAGGCCACCTTGAGCCTTAGCACCCTTTAATAGGAACTAGTTAATTGTTAAACCCATAGATAAGGCCGTCATACTTCTACAGAAGAGCAGGATTGAGGCCGAGGCTCTCAAAGCAGTGATTGTACATAATGTCAGGTGCACTTTTGATGTCGACGAGGACATGCTGAACTTCATAGTTGTTGATGATGATCGAAGTGACTAATGAGTCATTATGTACTGTGACAACACCATCTAGGTCAGTTGACGTGAATGTTATGGGTTGTTTCTTCCATTCCATATCATCAAACTTCCTCTTTTGAGTTCAGTTTTGGTGCTTGACCTCCTTTACATACAACTTATGTTGCTTAGAGCTCATTCCTCCTACCCCAAGCCCACCATTTATCATGTCAATGATTCACACAAGGGGAGGGGGGGAGGTGGTGGAGCTTGTTGATAGCCAACTATGGGCTTGTTGCCTGCATCTCGGGGTCTTTGGGCTCGTTGTTCGTGTTCCTTTAAAAATATGAGTTGGTCTTTTCCTCAAAAGTACTCATTTAGCATTCTTTTGCGAGCTAAGGCTTTGAGCTCGAATTGCAAACTGTTACATTCTTTTATAGTGTGGCTATGATCCTGATGGAAGTTACAATACCTGTTGTGATCTTTGGAGGCAAGCAGACTTCGCATAGGTGTTGGGCTTCTAAGCTCATTTTATTTTTGATTTGCATCAAAATCTGAGACCTTGGCAATGTGAATGGAGTCTAAGTAACTTGCTTTGCTAAGGTTTGTGAAGCGCTTAGATTGGGCTTGTCAACTTTGGGGATTGGAAATGGACCTCAGTTCTATACAGTTTTGAACTTTTTCTTACTTTACCCTTCTTCTTTCAATGTTAGACTTCTACTATCCTTACTAAGCATAGATTTATGGGACAAATAATACTCTTCAACTATGATAAACTTACGGGATCTTTCATTAACTTTATCAAAAGTAACAGAAGGATGCTTGATTATGTTATGTTGAAACTATTCATGGCTAAGACCTTGGATTATGGCAGCAATTCCTACTAGTTGGTCATATAAATTGATCTCAAGCACGACATCATTGAACCTATTCATGTAGTGCTTTAAGGATTCACCTTTCCTTTGAATTACCCACTTGAGCTTTAGTGTTGTCTTTTTAATCAATCTTCGACTAGAGAACTTGGTGGCAAAGGCTGCTACCATCTTGACATATGAATTAATTGAGTTTAGCCACAAACTGTATTACCAAGTTTGAGCATTGCCACACAATGTAGACAGGAATATCTTAGACATCAGGGCATTTAAAGTGTTTTGAGCTTGCATAATGGAGTAGAATGCATGCAAGTGCTCATCAGGGTCCTTGGTACCATCATACGTCTTGAACTAACACATTTTGAATTCAAATGGGTATGGTTCTTAAATGATGTTAGTATTTAAGGGAGTAGGCATTAAGGTTGTACTATGTTAAGCTGGTGGTGCATTTCGGTGCTTGACCATCATTTTTTTCAAGTTATCCAGTTTCTTGGAAACATCTAAAGCAACTAGTTGAGGCGGGTTTGGAGGTGGTGGTACCATGTGAGATTAGCCTTGGGACTCACTACGAGATGGAGTTGCGTTGCGAACTTGGGAATTCGCATTTTGTTGGCGTTGGTGATTGGGTGCCTAGTTGGCTAGGTTTAACATGTTGAGAAGGGGATCATTAAGGTTGTCCTTGGCCAATAGCTATGTGAGTACGAGTTGGAATACGTCGAACTGTTGTTGCATGACATTGAGTTGAGCAACTATGGCGTCATTTGGGGTTATAG